GTGAGGACGGCTACTGCAGCGCGGGGAGCAGCACGGTCTCCGCCTCTGGTCACGTGGGGGGCGGGGCTTCCAGCCTGGCGGGATCCCTCGGCTCCTCCAGCGGCTTCGCGGAGAGCCCCTACGGCTACGGAAACGTCCGAGCTGTTCCGCCATACAACGGACACACGCGGAACGCCAGTTGTGGAAGTCTCACCTCTGTCCACTCCCGCTCACGTCTGCAGGGGCTGACCAACAACAGCAACGGGCAATCCACGCATTTCAACGGACTCTTCAGCAGCAGCAGTAACGGAAACTTCGAGGGTTTGCTGAACGGGTACAGCCACGGACACCCGGATTTGGGCTCGGCCACCAGGACTCACGTGGTGCGGAAACTGTTCCCGGACGGAGGAAGCAATAAGGAGAACGACGCGGACAGCGTCATGTCTATCGACGGCTACTCGGGGAGGTCGCTGCTGGACGCCTTCTACAACAAGGATATCAAGTCCAAGCTGTCGGTGACGGCGGCGGCACGGCTGTCGGACGGCGACACGGCAAGTTTCAGCAGCGCGTGCAGTAAGTCGAGCACGGAGTTGAGCAGTTCCCCGTCCTCCTCCCACTCGCCAGCCGCCTCGCTCACCTCCTGCACGCGCTCAGGGGGAGCTTACTCCATGTTGGCTGAGTCTTTACAACGAGAGCACGATCGCTTCTCTCCGCCTCAGTCTATCTTCAGACACAACAAACAGCAGCAACAGCAACAGCAACAGCAACATCTGCAGCAGCAACAGCATCAGCACCAGCAAGGGGAAGGTCTGACGTCGCTAGGTCTGTCCCCGCCCCAGCAGTCTGTGTTCCGAAACTCGTCCGGGTCTGACGCGTCCATGAGATCCTCCCCTCCCCAGCCCTCGCTGTTCCGGACTCCCCAGATGTCCGGCTATCAGGTTCCGGCCAGAACCTCCCCTCCTGGCTCCGTGTTCCGTCTGCCCTCCTCCTCCTCCTCCTCTTCCTCCTCCACGGCTGCTATGACGGCTGGTGGCGGGGGAGGTGTGACCGGCATGGGCACCGCGGAGGATGGGTTCAAAACCTCCGAGCGTCTCTCTCCATCCTCCGCCTCTCAGAACGGAGCAGATTGGTAAGTCTTATTGGAAAGGATCAATTAATACAAAACAGCCGTTTTCTGTTTTAACTCTTATAAGCCAGAATTGATTTCATGGATTTTCTTAAACAGCTACCATCCCAAAAATATGCCTTCAAGTTGCAAATTCTCACAAAGAAAAGAAGTATCACCATGTCTACTTAAAACGTAACCAATGTTATAAACATGGATGTGGAGGACCGGACAGAAAAATGAGTGTTTAATTTGGGAAGGTGAAAATGATATACTGTTGTTTTGACGGAGGGGGTAAACCAAAACGACACACAGCGTGTTGCTCTGGCCGATAGGAGTTGAATGTGTAAATGATACTGTATCTTTTTATCTAAAACATTCCTGGAATTATATATCATCCACCCTGAGCCCTTAGATCAGCCTCTGATAATCTAATTCTTAAAACTCCAAAACAAAATTCCAAAACATACGGCGAACCTTCCTTTTTGTTCTTTGGTCCCCAGGTATGGAACGAACTCCCATATAAAACGTTTTACTCATGGAAAAGTTTACACAACTGTGTTTTACGTAAACGCATGTCGATTAATTTTTAAGATGTGATGTCTTTTCGATGTAATGCACAGTGGGCATCTGTTTTTTAAGAAAATGGATATGCGCTGTATTAAATGCTATTTATTATTTATATTATTATTATTGTTGTTATTATTATTATTATTATTATTTTTATTATTATAATTATAATTATT